TCTTACTAGTTTTCTACTATTTCCTTGCATAATCTCTAGAACCACCTAAATCAGTATCAATGTAAATGTTTATATTTTATTTTACATTTTCTCTAGAACCACCTAAATCAGTATCAATGTAAATGTTTATATTTTATTTTACATTTTCTCTAGAACCACCTAAATCAGTATCAATGTAAATGTTTATTTTACATTTTCTCTACTATATGAAATGTTTAGAATTTAGAAATGGAAACATATACATACCTTTTAACTCTTTGTAGAAATCTTTTGAAACTTGTTTTTTTAATATGTGTAATTTCACATCTTTTCACTTATAGTTTATTTTAAATTTTCCTTTCCAATTCTTTGTCTTTTATTATTTATGTTGATACATTAACTGGTGGCCAAGGGGCTTTATTATATTGCAACTCCTGTGCAGAGACTCATTTTACTAATGCTTTGCAAACGTGAATGATGCCATTTAGTTTGTATACTTTTACAATCCATGCAACAACAAGTTAAACCTAAAAAATCATTAAACCTTTCAGATATGATTTTTAAAACACAAATAATACATAATTAACTAAAATATAAATGGCAGATGGGTTTTAATTATAATAAATGCAAGATAATGCATGTGGGTTATGATTATTTGAATTATAAGTTCAATTTGGATTAACAGTGTCATGAAAGAAAGGGATATTGGTGTAATGGTTGATTAGTCTGTTAAGTCATCCAAGCAGTGTGCTGTTGCTAGTCGTAGGGCAAATAGGATTTTAGGTTGTATCTATAGAAATATTGAATAGAAGTCTAAAGAAGTTATAATTTCAAAGTTATAATATAATCACATTCTGAAACTGTAACATGTTCTTTCACCAGAGCTATCTCAACCTTGATTTGCCCTCTAACCATTGCTAAAATTTTCACCAGTGCACCAATCTATTATATAACTTCATTTTTGAACCATTAGAACAACATGTGCTAATCATGTGGCTATCTTCCACCAATCATACTGCACCATCTATACTAGCACAGGTATCTCCCTCTACCATTGTTCCTCAATCCTCACTTTCTTAATTGGCATTCTAGTGTATAAATGTGTGTTTTAACTTGTTCTTTATATGACTACAAAATTTTGATTGTGCTTGAATACAAATTAATATCAGTTTCTACTTCTTGAGTTTCATTTCCATTGTTTCCACTCATTTGTTTTTGAAATATTACTGATTTTTCAATTATACTTTGTTCATATGATATTAGAGATTTAATATAGCAGATGATAAAATTCCCACCATTAGTAGACAATGGTTCTGACACTAGGCCCCAGTTATCAGGCTCAACGATGTCTGCTGGGGAACCACAGGCTTTAATTCCCGGGGAGTTCATTCTTACGTTCAGTCAGCGATTTTTCCTTTCAAGTTACGATTTTTGTACAGAGGGATAGAGTTACTATGGAAAGTTTCTGTTGGGTTAGATCTTGTCCTTTTTCACAGGAGATCTGTGGTAAGTTTTTCAATGTGTATTTCTCATTCCCCCATAGTTATACTCTTGTTCAATGAGTTTATGTGAGCTGGCATGGATGTACCAAATTTATGCACTCTATGATTTAGGTCATTCATGTCTTCTCTGCTCAATGTTGGGTAAGTTAGATTTTTATACTTTGTTTACCATCTAGGTTACTTTAGTTTAAACTTGCATTTGAAGTTTATTTATTTCTTAATTTTATTTAAATGTTTACTTCTTTTCACTGTTAATGTTATTTAGTTTGCAAGTTCTTTTTACTTTACTAGTAGTCACATCTAATTAGGGTCATTTATCTTCTCAGTCCCTTTAGTGGTATTGCACTTTAGGTGTTACTTATTCATTTATGTTTTAAGTCGAATTTCATGGTTTTGCAGGTTTGTTATTTTTATATACGTTTTTTTGGTTCATTAGTAATGATTACTTTCTCTAAGTTCTTTAGTTTATGTCTTTGTGACAGTTCTGTTGTATATAGAGGTTCTCTCTGTGGGTTTCAGACTTCCATTTTGCTTCCCCTCTATTCACTTCCTAGATCTCCTTTCCTCCTACTTGTGATTATACCTTGTCCAGTAGTCTTGTCGAGTCTGTTCGAGTTCTACTACACAAAGGAGCTTTGAAATGGGTGGTGCTCACTCAAACAAGATTTTACTCCCATCTTTGTTGTGTTTCCAAATACACAGAAATTTGTAGTCCTGTCATCGATCTATCCTGGCTGTATAGTTATCTGGAAATGCCTTGTTTCACCATTGAGTTCTACCTCTCACTTCAGTGGGTTTTTTGCTCCAGTGTCTCGTTATTTTTCTTTGGCTCCTCTACAAGGGTTCTGCCTTCCAGTTCTGGGTGTTACCATTCTGTCTTTCTTCAGCTCTGTGTGTGTTTTGTCGATTGGTACACTCTCTTGCACGTCATCTTCACTAGCTGGTTTTTCAGACTCACCATTTCATGAATGACTGGCTTCTGCTCACCTCTTCCCATGCATAGTCAGTCACTCACACCCACTTCCTTCTTTGAGAAGCTACTCGAGTGGGATTTCTCATCAAGTTGGAGAAGTGCTTTACTACCCCCTCACAGTATGTTATTCATTTGGGGGTTCTCTTCACTTTCTGTCTCGGTCAAGCCCAGCCTTCTTCACTTCAGCTCCAGGATATGGAGTGGGCAGCCACGTTAGCCCTACCTTCTTCTTCTCTCTCTGCACATGAGGTTCTATCTCTTTTGGGGATATAGGCTTCTTTGGAAGCTCTCATTTTCTTGGGTTGGACACATATGCATTCCCTTCATTGGATGCTTCTTGACTGGTGGAACTTCCCCCATGATCCCTTGGACTATCCCATCTCCCTTCCACCTAGGATCAAGGTCAACCTTGCTTGGTGGCTCAACAGGGACTTGACCACAGTATTCCTCCACCTCATCCCGTGTCTCATCTGTTCACAGATGCTTCCTTGGTAGGTTAGGGGTTTTCCTCAGTTCCCCAGAGATTTTGGGTCAGTGGAGGAGGCTCCTCTCCACTTTCCACATCCTGGAACTTTTAGCTGTTCATCAGGCTTTATATTTCTGTAGGAGAGGGTGGTTATGGTTCATTCTAACAATTCCACTGTCATCAGCTTTATCACCAAGCAAGGGGGAAACAAGTCCAGAACTCTGTCTTTTCAGATACTGGATTTCCTGTATTAGGCCTATGACCACAACATGTTGATTCTGGTGTCATGTTCTCAGAGTTATGAATCATCTGGCCAAGCTCTTATCACATCCCAACCAGGTTCTCCACAGATTGGTCTTTTCATCCTCAGGTATTTCTGTGGGTGTGTTCTCAACAGGGAATGCTACATATATGTATGTGTTTCCCACTAACTGGAATGTCAAATTTCCTTTTTGGTCTCCAGTTCCTCAACACTCAGCTCTGGGGTGGATGGTTTTAGTCAAGATTTGAGGGGTCTTCACCTATATACCTACCCACCAATCTGACTACTTTTCTGGGTCTTTTCCCTTATCCAGACCACTTCTTGTGTTCTGCTGGTTGCTTCATATTGACCTGCTCAGATGTGGTTCCTCTACTCTGGCCTTTACTGAGCAACAGACTCATGATCTAATGTTTTTCATTCCAACTTCACCACACTCCTTCTTTTTGTGTGACTTTTGTCCAGTCCCATGCCTCGACTCAGGTACTCACCCCTCGTGTATTGTCTTTCCTTGCCTGTACCATTTACCCTTCCTCCTTGTCTATGAACCAGAGGCATTTATCTTGCTTCTAACTTTGGTCTATTTTCCATGGCTTCTGACCATCCTGTACTTCTGTTCCTCACTTGTCTCAGTTCTTCATCTGGTTGTTTGATCAGAGTTTGTCTGTTTCAACTGTTGTTCTTTATATAGCTGCCCTGTCGACTACCTTCCATTCTCCCAATTCCAGAAAGCCTTCTCTTCCCCAGTTTTTTCTCCTTTTCCATTCCTTTTATCTGGTCCATCTGCCACATTCCTTTGTTCTGCCAGATTAGAATCTCAGGGTTGTTCTTCAATCCCTGTCCAATTCTCCCTTTGGACCCATTGCAATGTGTTCCTTGTACCATTTTTCTCTAAAGACCTAATTCCTCCTCCTTCTGTCATGTGGTCATCATCATTCCAATATTTATGTCATCCTTTACCATTCTTTGTATGTTATCCACTATCAGGATCAGGCATTCCTTCCCAGGATATTGGCTACCTGGGAAGGTTGTTTTGCCTTTTCTCCTATTTCCTTACCTTCCTTTCCCATTTGTATTCCTGTTCATATCTGGATCATCTCCTTTGTCCAGTTCATTCCCTATTATGTTATTTGGTTCACTCTTCCTCCATTTGTGGTTCTCTTTCCTGTCTAATTGTTCAATAGTATTCCTCTGTTTCTCGTGATCTTTCACCTCTTATGCTCACTGGTTGGGTTTGGCAACTCATACGACTGGCATACTTTGATGCGTCCATGGCAGGTTGCCATCTACATACTATTTTTGCTCCCCAAATTTGTCATCTCCCTATGTGTTTAACTACTCGAAACTGCCGTCTTTTGGAAGAGATTGTTTAGGCTGGTATGTGGACAACTCCAAATACATCTTTCGCTCTTTCTCTGCACAATGTACGATAAGTGGTAGTATGACAAATGTAGTCCATCTGGGCAAAAATCATTAAGTGGTAGCACCTTGCATATTGATAGTATGTTTCATATTTTGTAAGAAAAGTATTGAGAGATCAACAAGTGTGGTCCACCTGGGTAAATACATTGATTGGAACCACCTTGTGGTTATTGAGTACAGTAAATGAGGTCCATCTGGTCAGAAAACATCCAGAGGAAGTACCTTGCATGAATAGTGTATGTCAGAAAACATCACAGGTCAGTAGGGATGGGTAGAAATCTCTATCTGCTGTACTCACGAAGTCCATGAGTGATGGTCCTTTATATATGATACAATGATAATATATATACATATAGATACACACCACTGGATAGGTGGCCAGTGGTCTTACAGAAACATCCCATCTCCAGAGTGAGCATTATAGAAGTATACAGATGTAGTACTAAGATATAGAATTTATCATACCTCATGAGGCAACACACGCCACTTGGTGGGAACCTGAAATATGATGTATATCAACAAAATAAGATAAAAAATTAAGGCACTTGCCCTAGATGTTTTTTGCCTGGGTGGACCACACTTGTTAATCTTATAAACTTGTGCAAGGCACTTCCATTGTTGTTTTGGCGTAATCCATCGTATCTTAAGGTGCTTCCCCTGAGTGGACTGCACTTGGACTATTCATATATGATCCTTTAGCTCTAGCCACATATTCTTATATCAACTTACAGGCTTCTTCTTGAAATCCAACTATCATTGTGTCATGTGCTCATACTCATTACATATGTGGACGTCTTACATAATAACTATTTTCCATGGGCAGAATCTGTCTTACATGACATAGTGCCTATCTTTCAGTTCTGCCCTATATGTCTTAATTTGTTTATTACTGGGAGCAAAGAGCATACCTGTTCCAGAAGTAGTGTTATACCCCACAGGTGTGCTCCTTTTATAATTTTGACACACCTGTTCTTTCACGGAGGTTGTTGTCTGCTTGTTTGATTACTTTTGTGCCTTCACCAACCCCTCCACTTTTGAAATGTGGGATTCTAGCTTTGGGTGGGTGGAGGTAGTATCATTTTCGAAATTAACATTTTTAACACTGAAACTGTATTTATAATAGGTACTTACCTCCTCTCACTCAATTAACAAAATAAAATGCTAATTAAAAGTACATGAATACAAACATATAGGAGTTTCAAGCCAAATCAGTCAAGCATGTATGCTTTCCCCATTTACACACACACAATCAAATTAGT